ATCTGCTGGGCCCTTAACTTTATTATTATTTGGTTTAATTTGACCAGAGAAAGACAGAGGGAAAGTGCGAAGGTAAGCTGCCAGGACCCAGACTCAAACCATAGTCACCCATGTGGGAATCCAGCATCCCTAACCACCACGCCACCTGTTAGCCCCCTTACCCTGAATTATATATCCTACTAATATATATATATACACTACATGTATAATTATAATGTAATAAATACAATTTTAGCCTTCGCCATCACCTAAAAATTTGAGAATCATTCATTTGCTGTCCGCCTATTAGGATGGGAATTCTTCCAGAGCAAGGACAGGGTTCCGTCTTTATCACTGCATCCCTAGTGCCAAACAGTGGCTGCTGCCCAGGAGGAACTCAGTAAATACCGTGCACTAAATCACCGTGCTATGGCTCTCCAGCCTTTGGTCTGTATAGCCGAAAACCAGAGGTGCAGACGGGGCCATCTCTGGGGAAAGCTTACAGCAAAAGCCGCGACCTGGCGGGTGGTGGTGGCACTGTCTCCAGAGTTCCCTACCCAACCCTGCTTCCGTCCCCTGTTTCTTCACTCTGATGTTAACTAGGCCAGTCTGAGACCAGGATGCCCCCAGCCCCACTGGGGTCAGACTTGTCAGGCTGAAGGTTGAGGGAGGCGACATTACTTTCACAAGTGGTAAAGGCCTGGTCTTCTGCGCGGGACTTGCCTGCGGTGGGGCACGCGGAGCCCCCCAGGTCCGGCTGGAGGGGCGGGGTGGGGCGGGGCGCTGGGGGTGGGACGGCTGGTCGCGGCCTTGACTCCGCCCCCGGCGGGGGGCCGGCGGCGGGCCTGCCCCGTGGTCTGCAGTCGAGCTGGACGCGCACGCAGTTCCGCTGTGCAGCCGACCCCGGGCTGGGATGGAGCTGGAGGCTGAGGAGCTGAGCCAGTGGCCGGAGGTGCACCAGCCCACCCTGGTGAGTCCATGGGCAGCCCCAAGGCGGGTGGGACCCTGGACCACGCGGGCGGAGTGGGGAGGAGTGGTGGGCGAAGGAGGTGGAGGGAAGCAGAACTCGGGGTAGGCGGGTAGGACAGAAACAGAGGGGAGGGGTCAGGAGGGGAAGGGATGAGAGATTGTGGACATAGTCCAGGGCTAGTATTCGCCTTGACCGGGCGTTCGCGCCTGTGCTGGGCTCTAGGCGTAAACACGTTCCAGGCAACTTCTTGGGTACTTCGGTACTTGGGTACTTAGGAAAGCAAAGACAGATTTAGGAAGTCAACGGGAAATGAGAGAGAGGAAAAACTTAAATATTAGAGGCCTACTAAGGGTCAGGCCTTTGCAGCCTCCTGGGAATACTGGGCTGAGTTCACCTAAGACAAGATAGCATGCCATTTTATTATTAAATAATTAGCTGAACGATCGAAATGTTCACATTGCCCTGGAGAAGTTAAGGGGTGGAGAGGCACAGAGCAGGTGGCAGAGGTGTTTGGTCTGATTTAGAAGATCAGGAAGTGTGGGTTTGGGCTGGGACCAGAGAACTGGTCAGGTCAAGGGTTCCTAGGTCCTGAGACTGGAGCCAGAAAGCTCCCCTGTGGAGGAAATGAAAGGTGAGTTGTGAGGCTGGGACAATATCCAGGGTCTTTCAGGGCTTGAGTTATTCAGGGAGCAGTAGGAGGCCGGTGATGAGTTTAAGCTGGCCTGTCAGAATTAGATTTGCATTTTTAAATGTGCCCTGGAGGGTGTGGGCCGAATTCAAGACAATGCAGTAGTTAGAAAGCTCTGGTGATGTATCAGGTGAGCGTTAAGGTGAGGGCCTAAACAGCCATGGAGGTGGAGAAGCTGGATAGATATTTTGAAGCAGAGACCACCACACCTGAATTAATTCCTTGGATCTAGGTGGTGAGGGAGGCATCCAGAATAAATTAATTTCTGACTTGTACAATCAAGTGAAGATAGGTGTCTACCTTTTCTGAGAGAACAAAGGATGAGAAGAAACAGGAGAAATGGTTGTTCATGGGAGAGGGTGGTGGGCAGGGAGGATTATGAGTTTGGATATAATCCCTTTAAATGCTCGAAAACTGTCCAAATGGACCCAAGCAGCAGGCAGCTGCAGAATACTGGAGCGATCTTCCCTGGAGCTATGGATCCAAGAATAATTGGCATATAAACAGAAATGGACCCATTGGCATAAGAAAGATTGCCTAGAGAGAGCAGGGTAGAGGAAACCAGCGGAAGAAAAGGGGGCCAGAGAGAAGAAAAGCAAAACCAGGGAAGTGTCTCTGTGTTAGGAAGGTCAAGGGAAGGATACATTTCAAGAAGATTGGGGGGTCAGTGGTCTCAGGAGCTCCTGAGAGGCCAAGCAGAGTCCGAGAAGTGTTGCTTAGACTTAATAAGATGGTTATTGGTCATTTTTATGAAAGTTGGTATTGTGGAGACATGGGAGAATACTTAGGCAAGGTAGTGCTGAAGTCGTGTACAGACAGCTCTAAGGTTTTCCTGTAGGACCAGGAAAACTAAAGAGGGCCATTACTGAGAGGGAGGGAAAAGAAGTTGAACACCCCAGAAGTACCTATCCGCTAGTCATTTACCTGGGGCACATTATAGGCCTACCTTATGCTGCTGGTTGTGGCTGAGCATATAGTAGTGAATAGGACAGATAGGATCTCCCCAACTTTTCTAAGTTTTTCTGTTTGTTTCTAGTTTTGCTGTAGGGTGTGTGCACTCATCAGAGAGAGATAGAGAAAGTGAGAAATCACCCCCCAGGGGAGATGGCCATGCTGCAATCCTTTCTCCTTCCGCCTCCCCTCAGGATTTGGGGCATGCACACACATGTCCCCGGTGTGATTTTCAAGCCAACAAGTCCAGCATTTAAACCACATAGCTGGCCATGTGGGATCCAGCACCTTAACCTCCGCGCCACCTGCTGGCTCTGTACGGTATACATTTTTGTTGTTTGCTGTAGGGTTCATGTACTCACCAGAGAGACACCGAAATCACTCCCCCCGGGGGGGGGGGGGGATAGCCATGCTGCACTCCCCTTTCTTCCATTCTCCTCTTGGGATTTTGGGCAGGCACATGTGCCTGGCATAATTTCCAAGCCACCAGGTATGGGACTTGAACTGCCCTGTGGATCATGTAGGATCTAGCTACCTTAACCTCCATGCCACCCGAAAAGAAAATTTTCCTTCATGGTCAAAACAATAGTATCAAAATTATTAATAAAAATTACTGATTTTTTTTAGAGAGATTTTTGCTATAGGGCATGCGTGGTTGCTGGACAGACAGACAGAAAGTGAGAAATCACCCCTCACCAGGGGTGGTGGCCACACCACTATCCCTTCTCCATTCTTTCGGGATTTTGGGCACTCATGTACACATACCTGGAGTAAGTTTTAAGCCACCAGGTCTGGGACTCGAATCACAGTCTGCCATGTGGGAGTCCACCACTTTAACTACTATGCCACCTGCTGACCCCCTAACAATATAACTTATTTTTAAACCTTTTTTTTTTTTTTTTTTGCAAAAAAATAGTACAAACATAGAAGTGAATATAAGTGTACAGGTTAAATTATTAGAAAGTAAATGCCTGGGAAACTCCTACTCGGGTCAAGAAATAGAACATTGGGGACCAGCAGTTAGCATAATGGCTATGTCTCTGAACTCCCATAGCTGACCACAGTTCAAGTCCCGGACCCGGCGGCTTAAACTCATACCGGGCGTGTGTGTGTGCGTGCCTAAGTTCCTGAGAGGAGAATGGAGATGGGATTGTGGCGTGGCCATCCCCCTGGGGGGTGATTTCTCGCTTTCTGTCTTTCTGTCTCTCTCTGTCTTTCTGGCGAGCGCATGCGCCCTATAGCAAAATCCTCTCCCCAAAAAAAGGAAATAGAACATTGCCAGCACCCAGAAGCCTTTCCAGTGCCCCTTTCACATCTAATCTTTTATTTTTTGGGTGTAACTTCAAGTTCCTCCATTACTGTCCTGTGATAGTTCAGTAATTGCTGTAAAATTTGCAATTGCTTTGGATTTTGCTTCTTTTCGAGGGGGTGTATACCATTTTTTTCTGATAAATTTTCTTTTTCTTTTGAGAAACTGCCATCTTCAGTTTGTTTTGATAGTCTAATCTTTTATGTGGATACCTTATTTTTATCTTGCATTTCAGGGTTGGTTTTTTTTTTAATAATTTTTTAATTAGCTTTATTTATTTAGTTAGTTATTTAAATTTTTTTTTTTTTGGAGAGATTTTCACTGTAGGGCGCGTGCGCTCGCCAGACAGACAGAGAGAGACATAGAGACAGAAAGCGAGAAATCACCCCCCAGGGGGGATGGTCACGCCGCAATCCCTTCTCCTCCATTTTCCTCTCGGGATCTTGGGCATGCACGCACACGTGCCCGGCGTGAGTTTTAAGCCACCGGGTCCGGGACACGAACCGCGGTCAACTCCGTGGGAATCCAGCGACATAGCCATTACGCTAACTGCTGGTTCCCGTTAGTTATTTAAATTTGACCAGAGAGGGACTGAGTGAGCAAGAGAGAGAAAAAGTGAGAAAGCAAGCCAACAGGGCTGGGACTCGAACTGTGGTCAGCCCTGTGGGAGCCCAGCACCCCTAACCACCACACCACCTGCTGGTCTCATATTTTCGGTTTTTATATTTGAATGGATCGCTCCTTTTAGGACCATTCCAGTGAAGGAGTGGATGGGAGGTAATGGGGTAGCTCTCTTAGCTTCGCAACTCAAAAGCTCTTTCTGCTATTGCTATAGTGATGGATCACTTTTTAAAAATATGATTCCTGGATCTTATCCTATTTCAAGAGCCACCGGTCTCTTCTTTCCTGTCATTCCCACCAGTGACAGCCATCAAGGAATACTGCCTCTAGCTTCCAGACAGTCCCTCATCCTTTGTTCATTATGAGAGAAGTGAGCACCCTTCCTGGGGTCTGCTCACATTGCATCCTCTTCCTCAGGCCCTCTAGTCCTGGGCATCCTGGGCACTTGAGTGCATGCCAGTGTGTTTCAGGCTGACCAGGCTGGAGAGTCAAGCCTTGGTTGGCATGTGGGGTCCGGCTTCTCTCGAGCAGCACATTACTGAATACCAAGGAGATGGCCTCTCTTCCTTTAATTGGAGAGAGATTTTTGCCACAGGGCACGTGTGCTCACCAGAGAGACAGAGAGCAAGGGATTGTGGTGACCATGCCACAATCCCTTCTCCATTCTCCTCTTGGGGTTTTGGGCACACACATGCTTGTACGCGGTGTTAGATTTAAGCCACCAGATCTGGGACTCAAACCATGGTCAACTCTGGGAGTCCAGCGGTGTAACCATTATGCCATCTGCTGGTCCTGCTCTCTTCCTTTTTTAAAGAAATATTTTTCAGGGGCCAGCAAGTGGCATAGTGGTTAAAGTACTAGACTCCCATGTGGTTGGGCTCTGTTCGAGTCTCAGAACCAGCAACTTGAAACTCATGCCGGTCACATGTGCATGCGTGCCCAAGATCCCGAGAGGAGAATGGAGAAGGGATTGCAGCATGGCCACACACCTCCGCCCCCTGGGGTGATTTCTCACTTTCTGTCTCTCTGGAGAGCACATACACCTTATAACAAAAATCTCTCAAAAAAAAAGGAAATGTTTTTTTTATATCTGCCTTTTTGCCATATTTCCTCCAATGCTTGATCTCAGACCTGCCCACTGCAGTTTCCACTCAGGGGAGACCCTCTTCTGTAGGTGAATGTTTGTAGATGGTCTCTAAGTTTTGCTGAAGTCAGGGCCTATCTGAACTCTCCATTATTCCTGTCTTCGGGGCTCTCTGCACTCATTGTGCTGGTTTGGGGTGTTCTTTCGTTCTCACACTTACGTATCATTTGGAGTCTGGGCACTTTCAGAGTTTTACCGAAGGTGTAGGTTATGGAATAATTGGTTTGCTCTCTTTGTTGCTTTGTGTGAAATAAAAAGCAAACATACCAAGGAGGGAAGGTGGCATGTTACATCTAGGCTTCCGTTGTGCTCCTTTCAGACCTGCCTCTTGGGAATCCCAACCTGGAGGCAAGATAAGAGACTGTGGAGGCCTGGGTGAGGATGAGGTCAGGGATGGGGAGGAAGGACATGTGGACCTGGAGTTTGAGCTGGCGTTAATTTCACCTTTCTCTCTCCAAGGACAATGAACAGCTGATGCCCGTCCCAGAGAGCTCTCCGTCTTCCGGAAGCAGTGGCATGTACACCTTTTGGAACCATGGCCCACCAGGCATTCAGTACTGTCCTCAGGGCACAGAGATGGCGAGGATCCCCCTGGTGTCTGCGGAGGCACCTAGGCAGGACGTGGGTGGAGTGGGGTCACCGTGCTGTGTGACATTGCCTGAGCACGGTGTGAGCTACTGCCCCCAAGCATCTGCTCCTTCCCAGACGATTTACTTTCAGGGAATGTCTCTTGCCCAGCCAGGGATGATGATTTTCAAGGGGCCCCAGATGATGCCCCCAGGAGAACCCAGTGTTCCAGGTGCAGCCATGACCTTCAGTGGGGATCTGAGGATGACCTCCGGTGGGCTGCCAGTCTCGGCTGCCAGTGGAGTCCCAATGGTATCCCACATGCGGGCCCCAGCAGTGCCTTATTCTGGCCTCCCAACAGCACCTAATCCCGGAACCTCTGTAGTACCTAAAATGTTTCTGACCCCAACCATGCCTTCCACTGAGTCCAAGCCTGTGCTTCCCTCGCTGGCTCAGGTATCTCCCAGGAGAGATCCCCACAACCTTGGGATGCCCCCAACAGGGACCCAATCGTTGCTAGACTTAGAATCCCAGGATGGTGTTGTGAGCCAGCCAAAAGCCCAGGAAGACCCCTTCCTGCCTGAGCAGCCCATACCTGCTCCGCAGAGAGCAGAGCAGAGTCCCAGGGCCCAGGAAGGGGCACCTAGGAGGAAATGCCCAGTTTCAAAGCCTTACTGCTGCCAGCATGAGAACTGTGGCAAAGCCTACACCAAGCGCTCCCACCTCGTGAACCACCAGCGCAAACACACAGGTGAATGGGACGCTGGGTCGGGTAGGGATGCTAGATTGCTGGTTCGTAACTGTTTGGGACTAGCCCGTCATCTTTTAAGCTTGGAACCAAGCTCTTCTGGCCCCACTGGTTTTCCATCCACCACGGATAATGGGGAGGGGCGCTGCTGATTGTATTGTCCCCTTCCTGGCTTCCTGCATCTGCGGAAGACTCCCCAGTCTTGACTGCTCTGCCTCACAGTGTCAGGCCTCTTCCCTCCCACCTGATGGTCTGTTCTCCCATTTAATTCCATCTCTCTTGTCGCCCCCCAGGGGAGAGGCCCTATAAATGCAGATGGGAAGGCTGTGCGTGGTCTTTCTTCCGTTCTGACGAGCTTGGACGACACATGCGCACACACACCAGATACCGACCACATCGATGTGAGCTGTGCGGCCGGCAGTTCATGAGATCTGACCATCGCAAGCAACACCAAACCACTCACAGGCAGTTGCTGGGATCCCCAGACCCTCAGGACAACCGTGGACAGATGGGTGACCCTCCTGCTCCTGGTCTCTAGGCCAGTCTTCACTTGCCCTCATTTTGGCTTTTCTACCCAGATCCCGCCTGCCTCTGACCAGCTCCTCTTTGGCAGGGGTAGTCATGGTAGAAAGGAAGCCCATGGTGCAGTGCTGACACCCAGACGATGCTGCCATCAGGCATGCCTTGAAACCCTCAGAACTTTCCGGGATGCCGTCACCTCTCTGGGGCGACCTGCTTTCGCCGGATGGAAGAGGGAGCTCAGCAGAGACTGGGAGCTTTATTTAAAAGCCCTTTAGCTCGGTCACTCACCAGCTTGAAACTTTTTAGCATCTCTTCTTTTCTGCTATGCAAAAGCCAAGTTAAAGATCTTGGTCTCCACAGTTGCCAGAGGCAGACTCTGTTCAAATTCCAAATGTATCACTTACTAGCCATGCGACCTTGACCACTGTGCCTTGTTTTCTCTTCTGGAAAGTGAGGAAAACAGCACTGGACTGTACTGGACCTGGTACATGTACTGCATCAGCTCCTGCTGGACCTCACCAGCCGCGTGCCCGGGGCTCCGGCTCTCCCCACCACTTCCAGACTTGGAGAGAATGCCCCACCGCAAGGCCTTGACGTTAGCTACCTGGAAGTGGGGGTGAAGTTAATACTTGGGTAAAATATGGCTCCTGGGAAATGGGAGAGAGGAGAGAGCCAGGTGGATTGGTTTCCCCTTCTTCCCTCCCTTCTGTGACTTCTGCCAGGCACCATTTCTCCAGGACAAGACAACCTGTGGGGACACTTTCCAAGTAGCTGGTGGACACACCCCCGTGCCTCTTCAGGCTTGTCCTGAAGCAGTGCCCAGCCGGGTAACTCATCACCCCCAGGACGGCAGACCTTCCCTGCCTTGCTTCCATCTTCTCACACTGCTCTGGGTTTGCACCTCCCAAATAAAACGTCAGTACTGTGTACATTCAGACTCTGTTTGCTAGGCCAGTTGGGAGCAGAGGTAGAGGAGGATGAACCTCACGTAACATCTCCCCAGTCTCACCACAGTACCTGGATTGCCAAGTACCAGATTTTTTTTTTTTTTTTTAATTTTTACTATAGGGTATTTGTACTTGCCAGAGAGACAGAAAGTAAGAAATCACCCTGCAGGGGGAATGGCCATGCTGCAGTCCCTTTTCTGTTTTCCTCTCGGGATTTTGGGCATGCATGTGCACACACCTAGTGTGAGTTTCAAGCCACCAATCCAGGACTTGAACTGTGGTTGATTACATGGGAGTCCAGCTACGTAACCTTTACAGCATCTGCTAGTCTAAGTACCAGACTTTTTTTTTTCTTTGGAGAGGTTTTTGCTATAGGGCGCGTGCACTCGCCAGAAAGACAGAGAGAGACAGAGAGACAGAAAGTGAGAAATCACCCCCCAGAGGGGATGGTCATGCTGCAATCCCTTCTCCATTCTCCTGTCAGGACCTTGGGCACGCACGCACACACACCCGGCATGAATTTAAGCTGCCTGGTCTGGGACCTGAACCCTGGTCGACTACATAGGAGTCCAGCGACAGCCATTATGCCAACTGCTGGTCCCCTCCAAATAGCAGATTTTAAGGGGCCTCTCCTGCCCTGTTCTCCCCTGGAGTTGAGATAACGACTGTCCTGGCAACTTAGCCAGGTGGTTTTAGAAGCGTGTGTCTGAACTCGGCCATTTTACTGACCAGCAAGTGAGAAAGGAATGTGGCTAACCTATCAAGGAGCAGAGTTGTGATCCCAACCAGTAAAAGGATGTGTGTGCCCCAGAGATCTCTTAGATCTCTCCTAAGAGACAGTGCCATTGATGGGTGTTGTCTGAGCCCAGGCCAGTGTTAAGCACTGCCAGGTGATGGCCACAGAGAGATGAACTGGGTCTGCTTCCTGTGGGCAAGGGACTATCTTGGTCTAGGGGCTGAGAGGTACATCCGGGGGCACTGGCTGTGGGCAAGAGCCCTTCAGATCATGAAGACTTCTGGAGGTGATCTTTGATTCCAGTAGGAGAGTGGAAACTCCAGTAAGCCTTTAGTGTTGAGATAACCAAGTCGATGAGTGACGAGGGGAGAAATTCCAGACAATGAGGGTCCTAGCAGTTGCTCAGGAGTCAGCTGCTTGCCTCCATCCATTGGACAGAGTTTGGTTGGTGGTTTGTAGGGTTTTGCATAGGGCACATGCTCTCACTGGAGACAAAGACAGTGAAATGGAAAGTGAGAAGCCACCCTCCCACTCGGGAGATTGCCTTGCCGCTGCCTTCCATTCTCCTGGGGTTTTGGGTATGCATGCCTGAGAGCCCTGTGTGATTTTCAAGCTGCTAGATCTGAGACTCAAGCCATGGTCAGCCATGTGGGAGTCCGCTGCTTTAACCACCATGCCACCTGCTGGCCCTTCAATGTTTTTGAGCCTACAGTACCGAATACTACAGGCCATGGGGGGATCCCTGATGAGCACAAAGACAGCTAAAGGGAAGAAAGACTTCTCTGTGTCAGAGAAAGACTTCTCATGGATGGGCCCGGGTCACACCTGAAGGACTCACAAGGGTCAGCCCTACCTCCTGTTTCCTGGACATGTAGCCTTAGTCATGGTCTGTGCTGGACACTAAGGAAGGCAGCCTGCCTCTGTTGCAGAGAAGAAAGATCACGGACTCCCACTCGGGAGATTGCCTTGCCGCTGCCTTCCATTCTCCTGGGGTTTTGGGTATGCATGCCTGAGAGCCCTGTGTGATTTTCAAGCTGCTAGATCTGAGACTCAAGCCATGGTCAGCCATGTGGGAGTCCGCTGCTTTAACCACCATGCCACCTGCTGGCCCTTCAATGTTTTTGAGCCTACAGTACCGAATACTACAGGCCATGGGGGGATCCCTGATGAGCACAAAGACAGCTAAAGGGAAGAAAGACTTCTCTGTGTCAGAGAAAGACTTCTCATGGATGGGCCCGGGTCACACCTGAAGGACTCACAAGGGTCAGCCCTACCTCCTGTTTCCTGGACATGTAGCCTTAGTCATGGTCTGTGCTGGACACTAAGGAAGGCAGCCTGCCTCTGTTGCAGAGAAGAAAGATCACGTACAAAAATTCTAAAGTGCTAGGACCAGCAGGTGGCATAGTGGCTAAGGCCCTGAACACTCCCACATGGCTGACCATAGTTCAAGTCCTGGACCTGGTGGCTTACTTTCTCATTTTCTCTCTTCCTCTCTCTCTGTACTTGTGTGTACTTGTGTGTCTCTCTCTGGTCAAATTAAAATGAATGAATACATAATTTTAAAAAATTCTGAAGGGCTCAGTACTGCCAAGGAAGGGAGCTGGGTCTCTGCAGCTTCTTCAGAAACCCCCTACGCCCTTTTCCTGCCTGTGTGGCCTAAGGCAATTTACTTGTCTCTAATAGCGAGTGGAGTGAGACTTCAAAATTGAAGAGAGAGGGTTAATGTTTTCTTTGGTGTGTGGAGAATGGATTAGGGAGGGAGTTAAGGAAGAGGAAGGAATTTCAGCGTTCAGGTAAGGCAAAGGTAGTTTGGACCAGGGTGTGTCAGTGATAAAGCGATCATTGGATTTGGTTTGTGAGAGTGGCCAAGGACGACTCAGGTTAACAGAAAAAGAACGGATTAACGTCATTAGTTTATTTTCTGTTTATTGTGGTATCTCCCATACACGCAGGGAATATTTTGCATAAATGCAGTTGAATATGTTTTTACTCTTTAGGTCACTGAAGAAAAGCTTATTAAGAGATCGGAGTCTCCCTTCTCCCAGAGATGATGACCCTGAATTTTGGTTAGCCTTGCCTTTTCTTTTCCTTTATTCATGATAAGAGCGATTGTAAACTCATGGGAGAGAGAGACGTGCACCCTGCACACGGTCCAGCCCCACCCTGCAAGCCAGGTCTCGGGCACTCACTCCCTGCGGACCACATGCCCCAGCTGACCAGGCTGGAGATTCGAACTGCAGCCACCTGTGCCATGGAGCCAACTGGACTTTGTTGTTGTTCCTCTTGCCGTGTCTTTCTTACTAAACAATGTAGTGATTGGTTTTGTATGATTTTTTTTTCCCCTTGCAGAGGTTTTTGCTTTAAGGCGTGAGCGCTTGCCAGAAAGACAGAGACAGAGAGACAGAAAGCGAGAACTCACCTCCCCCCCCAGGGGGCATGGCCACGCCACAACCCCTTCTCCATTCTCCTCAGGATCTTGAGCGTGCAGGCACACACACTCGGCATGAGTTTAAGCCACTGGGTCCGGGACTCGAACCGCAGTTGTCTACATGGGAGTCCAAGGACATAGCCATTACACTATCCGCTGGTCCTGGTTTTATATGATTTTTAACTTTACGTTTATTCTTCTTGGGAGTTCCTTGAACTTCTACATTCTTAAGGTTTGTTTTTTTTTTGTTTTGCCGGAGAAACAGAGAGACAGTGAGAAGTCACCTCCTAGACAGGATGACCACGCCGTAATCCCTTCTCCATTTACTTGGGATTTTGGGCATGCATCCACACATGCCCGACGTGAGTTTGTTTGTTTAGAATTATTTAATTTTATTTATTCATTTATTTTAATTTGACCAGAAAGAGAGGGGAAGTGAGAAAGCGAGCCACCAGGTCCGGGACTTAAACCGTGGTTGGCCATGTGGGAGTGTCCAGCACCTTAACCACCATGCCACCAGCTGGCCCCCCAGCATGAGTTTTAAGCCAGTGGATCAGGGACACGAACCATGGTCAACTACATGGGAGTCCAGTAACATAACCTTTATGTCATCAGCTGGTCCCTTAGAAGGTTTTAGTATTAATAAAAATTGGAAAAATTTTGGCCATTGTTTCATTGATTTTTTTAGTTATTTAATTTTATTATTTTTTTAACTCCCTCCACTTTTTCTTTCTCACACACATTGTTGATGCTCTGTTCACTTTTCTAATTCTTTTTCTTATTTTAGGTGTCGTCAAGTTTCTGATGTTTTTATTCTGCAGTGTCTAATCTAGTTTTATTTTTTTCTGTTTGCTATAGAATGTAGGGGCCTGCCAGAGAGAGGCAGGGAGAGAATGAGATAATGTACCCAGCCCCAAGGGGGCCCTGCCACAATCCCTCCTCCGTTCTCCTCTTGGGATTTTTGGCATGCGTGCTTATTACCCAGCGTGAGCTTAGTTCTCCATCTTCGTCTCCCACTTCTCATGCTGGTTTTCCCGCATCATGTTTCCTTTACCTTCTTGGATGTTTAAGGCATATTTAGAATTGTTTTAATGCCCTCAGACACGAGCTCTATAATACTTGTCATTTTTGAGGTCTATCCTGGTGGATTTTTAGAATCCTGATGATTGTCCTTATTTTTCTGCTGCTTTTTCTGGCTGATTTTTACATCTTAACTGCATGCCAGATATTGTGAATTTACATCGTCAGTTGCTGGATTTTGTTTTATTCCGTTAAATAGTGTTGACTTTTTTTTTTCTGGCATGAATTTTACTTTCTTGGTATTGGCTGGATACCTTGAGGCTTAATTGTAAGGTTGTACTTATTTATTTTTATCAAGCCCACACCTGCCTTTTTTTTTTTTTTTTTTTTTTTGGAGAGATTTTCACTGTAGGGCGCGTGCGCTCGCCAGACAGACAGAGAGAGACATAGAAACAGAAAGCGAGAAATCACCCCCCAGGGGAGATGGCCACACTGCAGTCCCTTCTCCATTCTCCTCTTGGGATCTTGGGCATGCATGCACATGCACCCTGCGTGAGTTTAAGCCACCGGATCTGGGACTTGAACTGTGGTCAACTACATGGGATTCCAGCGACATAGCCATTACGCCGTCTGCTGGTCCCTAAGACTTGATTCTTAATCAGTTATTCTAGCTAATAAATTCTAGCTTCTTTGGTCTTCTCAAACTTTGATGTGAGTTCTCAACTCATTGAGATTTCCAGACTATTTTCCTCTGTCTCCGATCTCACAGCCCCATGCTG